TTTTTCGAACGTGGTGTAATTAAATCATGATCATTTAAACGACAAACTCGATAAGTATCATATGATAGATCTGATGAAGACATTATATTACTGTTGTTTGGGCGATTAACTAATTCCAGACTACAATATAGATATATAGATATATATATGTATAGATATATGTAAATAAACAAATGCTGATCAATCATATTTAATATGTTGATAGAAAGTATAAGAAATGAATTATATAATACTCAAACTAATTGCTCTGATCAATACTCTTAATAGGTACTAATAACTGATAACAATAGACTTATTTTAAAATATATATATATATGTAATATTATATGAAAGAAAAATAATAAAATTATGTAAGGATGAATATATATGTATTTATTTTTCTTTTTCTCTTGACATTTCTTTTTATTCTAAATAAAAAATACAAATCTTTAACATGTTAATGTTAATCGAAACAATATTTTTATTATCAATAAATAATAAATTATCGATTCAATAAATGTACTTGACATCATTCTATCAAATTGACTATTACGTTTTTTGTCAAGTAAGAATATAATCTAAATCATATTTATTACTAAAGAAATAAAAACCCCTCACGGCTATCCTTGATTATTATGTGCTTAAATGAGATGTCATTATAAATTGACTACTAAGAATTCTACATTGACTTTCAACACTACATCAGATTTCTTTCCTTCATCATCATCTACTATTTCACAAAATGATTTCGTTTACATGACGTGTAAGACGAGATAGCTTCCACATGATCATTTATATATATATATACGTAAAAGATTGAATAAGACTTTAATAGTGTTGAAAAATCTGACTTTTTTTAATGATAAATGATGGTTGATCTATATTATAAAAAGTTACAAAGCGATTAGTGGACGATATAGTGATAATGGCCGATGCATCTGTTTATGTCACTCATTTATATAATCCAAGGTTGTCATAGCACCCAATCTAACTGTCAATCATAAATGTATATATTTTTTTTAGTACTTTGATCTTATTATTTCTGCCTATTGATAATATTTATCGATAGATTGAACTTTACAATACCTATCAAGTGTTTTTTGATTTTTAAGTCGAGAATTTTTATTGAATAATATAGGTGTTGTTGTAACATCTTGAACAATTATTGTTGGTTTATTTATTTTACGTTGATCAGGTTCAATTGAATTGATTATAGGTGTTGTTTTAACTAATGAAGATGAAATATCAAGTTTATTATTAGAATTTACATGTCGATTAAGATTTGAATCAATTGAATCATTTATAGATGGATTAGTTAAATCAAGTGAAGATTTTGTAACAAATAATTCTTTTAATTTTCCTACATATGAACCATGACTAGATGGTAATGGTGAAATATCATTAGTATCATCTTCATCATCATATATCTGATTAATTCCTACTGAACTTTTACTTCGACCATATAATGGTCGAAACGATCCTTTATTCTGTTGTCGATTAATAAATACTGGTGATGGTGGTCGAATAGGGGGTTGTTCTTGTTGCATACGTAAATCCAATTCAGATTTACTTACTGCAGAACAAACACGTTTTGTTCCTGTAGAAAATAATGGTTGATATATAGCTGTATTGTCATTGGATAATAATTCAATTTCATTTTTTAATGATTCATTTTGACGCGGTTCAACAATAAATTCTGAACGTGATCTTGATGATGCATATTTAAGTATTGGTCGTAATGAATTACTTATCGATGATGATGGTGGTGGTGGTGGTATTGTTGGGGGTGGTGGGGACGGTTCTGTATCGTGTATTGCTGGTTGGCGTTGAAGACGTGGTGTAGGTACTTGTTTTATAGATGTTCCATCTTCATATGTTGTAGTTAACGATCGATGCGATAAGAATGGAGAAGAATCGGATGATTGTACTGATCCTGCTTGGGGAGCAAATGTATGCCACATATTTCGAGTAGCTTCAAGTGAACCATGTTGTTTGATACCAGTAGGACTTGACGTTACTGGATCATAACGACGAATTAAACGTAGAACATTCGAATCCATTATAAGAGTTGATCGATAACTATTACCTTCTCCACCGACTGAAGACGAAGAAGAAATTCTTCTTGATTTATCGATATCATCTTCCTAAAGCAAAACAAAAAAAAACGTCAATATTTAAATCGATTATAACCTTGAACTAGTTATAAGAGTGGATATCATCTATATCCTGTATTAATCTCTTTTATGTCGTAGTACAACAAGAAAAAGAAGAATATAGGACTATAGAAAGAAACCTTTACTCGTCCATCTTCCTTTCTTTTTTTTCACATGACGAATAACTCAAAGATGATAAGCAAAAAGACATAGAAAAGAAAAGAAAAAGAACGAAGAAAGAATTGTTGGCATCCCATATATATGTACAGATTGTTCTAATGATCAGACGCGTGTGCATCCAAAAAAATATGGTAGCTATAGCTATCAGAAGGAAAGAAGCAAAAACGCAATAGCAATAACAGCGAGCCACTATCATCATTATCCATTATCGTCTTGCTCTCTTTCTATCATCTATAAAGCATATAGTCAAAGAAACAAAGAGCACCGTATGTGTCCCTGAACTGCTAGAGATTTGACGCCTACGATGATCAATTGATAGTTTTATACGGATATATATATATATGTGAATCAATGATAATAACATACTAATCGAACTTTATTTCTTGTATTTTGATATTTCAATGATTGTTGTGGTTCAGATTGATTTTGAACATATTGACAAGAATAATTACGGCCTTCGTTTCTAATAGTAATGTTACTATATTTAATACTATTGTTGTTGTTATTCTTATTCTTGTTTTGGCTTTTTGTCACTTGGATTGGTAAGAAAACTGTTCCGACATTTGTTGATGATGCTGCTGAAGCTGAAGACGGAGGAGAAGAAGACGAAGAACAAGAACAAGAAGATGCAGTAGAATAGGATAATGATGATGGTATTATAGAGCTAACAACCATAGCTCTGTTGTTACTTATAATATCGACTGGAATCGAACGAGTCAATGGTTTCTATAGAATAAATAAAAATCAATGGATATATTTCTTACTACATTTAGATAAATATATAATACCTGATTGGATAATTTACCATTCATTGGAGATAGAGATTTTTTTTTCGTAATAATCAATGATGATAAAGGTGGTATAGAACCAAGTTTTCGACGTCCATAAGTAATCAATGGACGAAAATCCATTGATTTTATTTCTTTATTTGATGATGATGTTGATAATGGACAAAATTTTGTATTTAATAACGGTGGATGTCTTGGAATATTTTCAGTTGTCGATGATTTTTGTATCATTGATCTATCATACACTTGATTATTTACTGAACAATGTATAATTGGTTCAGGGACAGGTCTGTTTGTAAATACATATTGATGATTTGATTGTTCCTGCTCATTAGATGGAAGATTTTTTCGCTTCGTTAACATATGTAAATTTCCATATTCAAATTTTGAACTTGGTAAATGAAATTTTTTTGATATAACTAGTTTGGGTGACGATTGAACATTAATCTTTAAGCGATGATTGTAAATTGATTCAGGTGACATAATAATAAATTTAAGAATCTATATATACAAAATAAAAATGAAAGCGTATGAAGAAGAAGAAAAAAAAGCTCGTCTCTGCTTGTTTTTATTGATATTTTAAAGTCATCATCACATCAAGAACATTAAAAATGAAAGGAGAGAGGAAAAAAAGACGAAACGACGTGCCTATATGTATATTCACACACTTTTCTATTGAAAAAAAAAATTATTTGGAAGCATCACATCGCTCTGTTATTCGAAGATTCAATTTAGTTAAAGTATTATACGCTTAAATGAGGATACTACTATTGAATGTTATTCTTTACTTATGAGTGTCTTTCTTCAGTATAGACATAGAAAAGAATAGTAAAATGAAGAACAAAAAAAAAAAAAGAAGAAAAACGGAGCCCAAAGCTACAAATCGAAAGACAATATACAACCATACGACGAGTAAAAGAGCGCTAAACAAAATAAACATACATATATACAAATACATACGGCAAAAGTTTTGGCTAATCAATTCAAATTGGTGACAAAACATTTTTGTATATTTATATAACAAATATAACTGTTGTAAATACTATTTACTAAGTCTAATTCAATGAACATAGAATGTAAAATCAAGTATATTTATATACATTCATACATTTTATTCTTTGTTAAATCTAATGTTATATAAAAAAACAATAAAGAAATTTATCCGGCAGCCACACCTCAACAAGGATTAGTTGAATGATAAATGTACTCTATATACAAACGACATGAATAGAAAAGTGTATAAGAAGAGAGAGAGCGAGAAAAAGAAATGTGCAACACACATTACTTACTTACCTACATATGTCAATGTTACATTATAGGACCTCGAACCTAAATTCAATTTGCATGAAAACGAACGACGACGAGGGAGAGTGAGCGAAGGTGTATATGCATGTTAAATACGGTACATTGTGTCTCGACCAACAAATCATGTTATATATTCAATGCTTGATCTCACTTTCCAGACGGAAAGAAACGAAGAAAATGATCAAAAAAAAACATAAGATTATTACGATCAATGTCAAATGAAGCCAACCAATGCAGATGATATATACATTTAGGATAAAAATTCTTTCGAAGAGAATTGATCTAACAATTTTCTTATTTTTATAATAATATCACTTTAGAAGAAGAAAAAAAAGATTTTTTTTTATTATAGTATGTGTAAATAGACATATAGATAAATTGAACGATAAATCTCATTGTCTTTTCTTATTTAGAATGGTTAATGAGATCGCAATTTGTTCATCCCAATATACATATTGTCTATTGACATGACATTTTGTTGTACGACAATATACTACCATTACTTGCATATTGTTAAATCTCTCACAGTAGCAATTAGTAATAGGAATAGTTACGAAAGAGTAATAATTAATACCTGCATGTCAATAAATTCTCTGACAGATGCTAAGTTAATTAAAGTACAAATGATACGTGATGAGTGGATATCAACAGCAATCATAGATAGATAATGATTTCAGTTTGATCTCATCTTAACATCTCATTTTTCTTTCTCTCTATACTTATATTTGAAACTATGAGTATATGAATCAATCATGCGCATAATAAGAATATGTACTATTGTACAAACGTAATTATATCTATCATATGCAACCTAGTCAATATAATAATAAGCAAAAGAATGGTCAATGTCCAAATATATATATATATATAGATGAATCTGTTTCTCATTTAGACTCTATTGTTTTATCTCTTACTTGCTACAAAAATGATTCGATAGAGTGATAGACGAGTGTCTGGAGTATCGTCATTTAATAATCAATGACTTGATCAATGTCGTGTCCATCTATAAATCAATCATAGTTACTACTAACAAATTCATCTTGTCTATATGTCAATGATAAATTCATATGTTCATTTAGATGTCGTCTTATCAATGACAAGAATAGATATTTACAAAATAAAAATATCGGATCAAAAACGTTTGCGATACGGAAGGGGGAGGAGGGGGGGGGGAATACAGGTGCTGTATGACCTTCGTTCATATGGTTTCCATTTACAAGTAAGCACAAGAAACGACGATGATTGGTATCTTTCATATAGACATATGTCATGATGATTATGTAACTGATCTGTCATCGAAACACAAACGTCGGCAAAAGTACATACACATGTACCAGATGATATACTGATTATGACAAACGAACATATGTATTCGAGCGTCAATTTAATCCGATCTAATCCATTTCGAGGTGAATTTTTAGTTATAATGATACTAACAACAATCCTTCTTTTTCGACTAATTTAAAACATTTATCAAATAAATTCTTCGAACCTCATTCAATAGAGTTCTCTTATTTCTCAATGTCACTCTACAGATCGATAATATAATATTGAAATTAGAGAAGCAGATGTCTGACTGAATTACTCGATGTTTTCTATGTAACTAGTTCTTTTTTATTGTCTCGTCAAGATACATATCTTTTGATTTATATTGAATAAATAAGTAAAAACAATGATCTTTCATCCTTGAATATAAATGTTACATTAAGTTTGACAAACAGATATTTCTATGATAGTATCTGTTTAATAATTAATAAACATAATCTGATATACATATATATTCGATTTATTATTAATATTAATAGATAAATCTTTTATTATTGATTGACTAATAACATCCAATGTAATAATTCTTATTTAATAACATTTTAAATTATTAATATGTAATATAAAAAAAAAATTGCCTCAGCTATATTTCTTGTTTTTATGATTCTCTATTAATAACATAATATAAATTATCCGACCAACTGTTGTCCTTGATAATAATGTATATAATTATTTTTACACCATATATTCTTTTATTCCTTTTAGAATGGGATTTCTTGTTTACTTCATAAATTATAAGACATGCAAGTTGATATTTTTCTATAAACGTCGTCTTTGAATCTGAATGAGTTAAATATAAAACTTATTCATTAGGCATACTTTATATAGATTAAAAAAAGCTCAGAAATGTAAGTATTCATTTGTAAAATTGCACTGAATAATAACTAAATTAGTTATATTGTATGTAATCTAAAATACATTGTACTTGAAATGACGTTAGTAGCTTTTTTTAAGAATCTAATCGAAAATTAAACTCTTATATATATTTTTATCATGACTTTGTTCTTATGTTTATATATGACCATGAAAATCATGTAAAGAAGTTAATGATGATGATTTTCTTTGTTTGCTCTACTAATAATTAAATAATCTTCAATAGGATGATAACATATTCTTTTTATTATTCACTGTTATATATTTGTACAAAGAAGAAAAAAAAAACAAACTGTAGACGAAAAAAATACAAACAATTGTATGTTATATCCACAAGCACAGAATTGACAAATCGACAGTGATTATTTCCATTAACCCTACCTGAGAAATGGAGAATAAAAAAATCACGATAAAACTATATACACAGATAGGTAAAAAAAACTAACTAAAAAATTTACTGAATAAACTATGTCATCGAATAGAACATTTGTTAGTAAATAAATATACTTATATATATATACAGTCAAAAAAAAGAGCGTTATACGGTCATATTAATGATGTGATGAAGCAAAAAGTTCACAACAATAAAAAGCATGTAACATCCAAACAACACACATACATATGGTAAATTTCCTGAGTTAAGTTGTTCTCTTTAGTTTTGCTTATTTTTTCTCTTTCTCGATTTTTCAAGATATATTTTATATTTTTTGCATCTGACGATAAACAAAAAAGAAATTGAAATAGAAAGAGAAAGAGAAAATTCTTGTTTTTTTCGTCTTTGGCTATTTTACTTTTCGCTACGTATAACAACACTCTTGTATTCCATATCAGTTAAATAACGAGGAATAATATGCGTAAAACACATGAACAAAAAAAACAAAACACATTTTACATACAAAAATTGTCAATATTGAAAATATAAATGGAAAGAATATAAAAAAATATGTCATCGACGATTTTTTTATTTTTTGTCATTTTCATTTTACTGCTCCATACGAAATGCATCATCACAAATATTCGGATCAACAGATAAATCAACCGTATTGAGCAACTGAATAAGAAATTTTGTTTGTTTTTGTATTAAGAAAAAAAACTTACGAAATCTGTATTTAAATCATTTGCATCAATTAAATGATCGAATGGATTGATAAAATCATTTGCTAATTCTTTCGATAAATCTAATTTTGAACTGTCAGGATCTAGAAAAATAAAAACAAATAATAATTCTATGTAAGACACGTTACTGACAGATATAAATCCATAATACTGTTGATTATATAAATGTATTCTATCTCAAATTATAATATAGACTGTAATATCGTGTAATTAGGATTTTGTTTTATAAATGTGAAAGTTCGTTAAGTCTCAAAAGATATCCAAAACATTATCTCGTAGGAATTTTACTATTCACAAAACACGCGATATGATTCATTTTTAACATAATATTGTTTGGGGTCATAGATTACCTTGTATACTCAAGTGACTATTGTTATAAACATTAAAAAAACTGTTTATGGATAAAAATTATGAAATATATCTTCTATTCGACGAAAAAACCTATTTGTTAACGATGTAGAAAGATTCATTATTATCGATTAGAATGTACTCCGAGTATAAAATTGTCGATTTACGTCAAATGCAACTTCACATTTGCTTAGAATATATCTTAAATGGTTTCTTTTAATGTATAAGTTTGTTTTTTAGTCTATGACAAATTTTTACCAGTTAGAATAATATCCGGAATAGTTGGACTTTTCTGATTGACATTTGTCTTTATATTCACTGGTGATTGATTATGACAATATGATGGTGACCTGAATAGAAAAAAACATTTTTTTTTCATTATTTAAAATAGAAGAAAGATAAATAAAACATTACATATCATCGATGAATGCTGCATAAAAATCTCTTTGTCTAAGACCATTTGTAACACCTGGCGTTGTTGGAAGTGAATGGTTATTATTTTGATGTGATGATGGTGGAGATGGTTGTTGTTGTGAAGAATAATAATTATTATCCTAAATGATACAAGTTTTTTGAAATGAAAGAAAAAAAAACATTCTGTTACCAAATTAATCTGATCAAAATGATTTGGTAATGTAAAATAAGGTTGTTGATTATCTGTGGATTGTTGTTGTGGCGAAAATGGAGAAAGTTCATTACCAAGATTTGGTAATAAATGTGGTGAATTTTGTGGAGAATAATTTGGAATAGATGGAGGACTTTGTGGTTCAACACGATAATGATTCTGTTGAGTCTTTAATAATTTAAATTACAAAATAAAAATAAATATGAGAAAAATTTACGGAAGATATATCAGGCGTCGGTGAATTTTGTCGACGTGGTGATCCTTGTTTTCCATCACCAATTGGACTATGACGTCGACGAATACTTGGACTTGGTTTCAATGGTCCACTACGTGATGGTAATTGTTGTTGTGGACCCTAAATAACGACATTTTTCAAAATAACATTCTTTTTTTTCTATTCATAAACAAATACCAGAGCAAATAAATCCCCATCTCCATTTTCGTGTGGAGAAGGTGAACGTAAGAAATGTTGTTGTTGTTGTTGTTGTGATGGATTTGTTGAAAATGATAATTGTTGATTATTGTAAACATTTCCATTGCGTAAATCAGGTAATGAACCACCATTACCAATACGTGAATTTTGATTAGGTGGTAACATAAGAACATTTGAATTATTATTTCCACAACTAAAACGTGGTCCTAGTTGTGTATGCGTATTATTATTATTAGTTGATGATGAAGATGCAATAGGTTGTTGTGTTGATAGATAAAACATATTACCTTGATCATCACAATAATTATTATTATTATTTAAGTCATAATAATGATTTGATTGAACTTGTAAATGTTGATGATGATGATGATGATGAGCATTATTATATGAAGATGCTTCTAATTTAATATCATTCAAACCAAAATTAAGTTGTTGATCTAAATCAATAAATAACTTCAAAAGGAATTCAAAAAAAAACAAGACTAACTAGGATCGTTATTATCAATTTGTGTATGATAATGAGTGAAATTTGATGGCATCATAGATGGAAGTGATGAATCCGAATGAATTCTATGAAAAAAAAATAGAATTTCTTTTTTTTTTATCTTCTTCTATTACCTTCTCCATGATGGATTATCAGGTGGTATTAATAATCGATCAGAGCCATTATTATTTTCTCCCTAAATAAAAAAAATTAATTAAAATGTATATCTATTAAAGTATTAATAAACATACTTTGCAAGATTGATTTGTATAATTATTACTATCTGAATGATTCAGTCCATTTGTTATCTGATAAAATAAAAACAAAAAATTCGGATGTTTTTTTTTGATTGGATATAAATGTTTTTTTTTTCTTTTACTTCATATTTTCGTGTTGGTACATCTAATTTTCTTTTTGTTGATGATACTCCATCAGCTCTCTAGAACAAATATATATTATTTATCTCTAGATTTTTTTTTAACTTCTTAGATCTATGTTTATATACTTGTTTAGCAGCTTCAACTTCGGTAATAATCGTATTAAATGCTGCATCATCTTCTGCTTGTTTCTGTTGTATTAACGCGATTTTTTCAGCAAATTTACGTGGACTAGTCATCACGAGTATTTAATATTATTGGGTAAAACAGAATAAGGTATAATATATTAAAAGAACCAAGAAGTAGTAGGTGAGAAACAAGTTGAATATGTAGTCAGCAGAAAGGAAGGAGAAAAAAAAAGAAAAGAAAAGAAAAGAAAGCAAAAGAAAAGTATAAAAGGCAAAAAACCTAAAAAACAAAAGTAAGCGAAATATATGTATAAAAAAGAAGAGAAAAAAAAGAGGCACGTCGCTTACCGAGCAATCTATTTGTCAACACACGTCGATAAAAAATGAATCCATTCTTCATCAAACTTCAACGATGAAAATATGACATAGTGATCTTTGTTGTTTATTTAAATATCTAAAAATGCGAAAAGAAAGAAAAAAAAGCATGACTTTCAAGTGCAAAACAAGTTCCTCAATTCGTTCGTTCGGTTTTTGTTTATTTTTGTTCTTTTCAGACGATGATAATGAACAGACTAAAAATGTAGGCGTATGACATATAATTAAAATACTATCCAAGTGGAAACAATGATAAAGAGTATTTAGGGTTAGTCTCAAAAGAATACATGAAAAAAGAAAATGTAAATTAATCAACTAATGTGACATGTATGTGTTTTATTGAAGATTCTTGTTCTTTTTTTTTCTTTACTGATGAATTTAACTCAAGGTATATATATATATATATATGTTTTTCTCTTTTTGGCAATAAGTTAACCAATTAGATTAATGAATTAGAATTTATTAATGTCTAATTTAAATAAATAACAATTTTGTAAGTAAGACATACTTTGTTAAGATATTCTATTTTGAGTTATTTACTAAATACTCTATCGTCGAGTATACATTGGAGATTGAGTCAACCAATAAAAATTTGTTTAAAACTAAAGAATTTATCAATCAATATGCTTATTTTCTCACGAGATTGGTTATCTCAAATGATTACAATTCAATTTTCATTAGTACAGATACAATTCACACAAGAGATTTAGAATTATTTTTAATATATACTTTTCTTCTTTCTTTTTGTTGATTTTTGTAAGATATTTTTTTTTGTATTAAGACTAAAAACATATTTGAAGAAGAATAAGAGATCAAAATAAAACAAATTGTTCTATAGAATACATACCAAAAACAAAGATTATTTATAATAAACAGAAATATAACTTTAACATTTATTAGTGTTATGTTATAAATATCTATATTAGCTTTTATCATGAGACTCTTTTCAACGATAAACTAATTAATAATACGATTCACTGAAACGAGTTAAAATGAGTAGCTTTCTTTTTATATAGTAATAAAATTCTAAATAATTAAATACTTTTAATTAGAACGCAGACTAGATTCTATTATTAGTACATCATAATTACTTGTTCGCATTATTAAAGAAAAATAACAATATATTCAAAATTTAAACAAGTACACTTTTCCACATGAAAGATCTAATATCGCACTCTCGTTATTCATATAGAATAGATTCGGAAATTAATTTCGAACTGTTATTAGTAGCACGACAAAAAAAAAGTTTTCAGAGTGTACTCAAGTAATCACACATCTTTAAATACGATTATACAAATAATGCTACTAGCGATGTTTCTAATAACAACATTATTTATTTATATAAAATTATTTTAGATCAATGTCGACACGTCGTTTTGAAATAACACCTGTACCCGAATCGCCTTCTAGTAATTCATCATCTCTACCAGAGATAATTCCATTAATTCATATTGAAAATGAAATTCCACCGCCCCCACCACCAATACCAACTTCTCTTCCATCAAACAATGGAAAAACGAATCGATTAACATCAGGTTTATTTGCTACAATGTTAAAACGAAAAGCTCTAGATGCTCGTCGTCGTGTTACACTTGCATCTGCATTTGCATCTATGGGTCATCAAATAAATAAAAGTTCATCAGCTGAAATTCTTCATAAACATGAATCAATATCTTCACATAGTCAAACTAATCATGGATACAATACTGAAAATACTGAATCTGATGTATATTCAACAACACATTCAAATAATTATGATTCAAATCCGTCAAGTATAACAAATAAATTTCTTCAAGAACTTCGTACGAAACGTCGTGAATTACTTGAAAAACGTAAACATATATCAATTGATACACGTATTGATTTAAATCGTCAATTAAAAAATCAAAGACAAATTTTACGTGCACAAGATATTTTTGCTGTACATTTTCAATTAAATGATGATGATAATGACGATAGTTTATTATTATCATCATCACAAACGAATCTTTATACAGAAGAATCTCAAGAAAAAATTCGTAATGAAATTTATAATGAATTAAATCGTCAACAAATGAAACAATACCGTAAACATAATCGACATTTATTCTTTGGTCGATCATTACTATTGCTTATGACATCATTATTTGCATTCATGAGTTTAACATTAATTTATGTTGTTATTGATTTATATAATCGATCAAAGAATTTAGATGCTAAATTACCAGACTATCAGTTTCAACCAATACCTGATGTAAAACCATTTACTGTTTCTTAATCAGATAGAGAATATCGATGAAGAATGTTATTCTAGTCCCGTATTAGATAGATACGAAGCATGTTTAATGCTCAATACAATTCATCTGTCACAGTTTTTATTTCTTATTTGTAATCTACTTGCTAATTTACATATACGCACCTGTAACGTTCTTGTTTTTTTTTGTAATAATGATTATATGAATAGTCAATGCAATATTTACCTGTAGTCAGTGTTTTTCACAAATAAATAATGAGTTACATCTTTACAATGATATGTAAATGTCTTTTTGTCTTTTCTTATAATTGTTAAAGTATAATTTGATTAGTTTCCTACCGTCTATATATCATATACTAATCGGTTTTTACATATTTATACCATTGATTGTATACAATTCATCGAATTGATTCAAAATATTCTCATTTATTTACGAAATAAATAAAAATACAAATTACAAAAAATGAATCAATTAATCTCGGTGAATCATTGTATTGTAAAAGAGCAGGTAATGGTTGTCGTCTGGGCTCAGTCACATAAAACTGCCATTACGATCGGCTTCTTTAAAAAAACTAAATTCTTTCAAAGAAAGGGTGGATGTGTTGGTATTGATCTTGTATTCGCTTTAATGGAAAGCAATTAACAGCTATGCGAATAGCAGAGAACAACAATTAAGAGAAACACGCACAACAGCTACAAAGTACTTCATCGACCAAACATTTCGTCGAAAATAAATTATTGAAAAATTGATCATGTCAAGAAACTTATTTTTCTAAGAAAAGATAGATTATTTCATGTTTATCTAACAATAGGATCTTGAACGTGTGGGTGTGGTTTAAAAATGAAGATAATCACATCCATACCCACACTCTTGTATTTCATAATAACAATAGATAAGAAAGGACAAAGTAATTATCTCTCGTCGACGAAATGTTATGTCGACGAAATTCTTTGTTGGCAAAATGCTTTTTGACGGAAAATATAGGATTCGATCGTTTCAGTGAAAAGCATCATACTATAAAGTTAAGGACTCAAAAACTACCGAAGACAGAAGATGATATATTACATGTGAGGGTTAGACAACTTTTTCATCGGTGACAAAAATGACTATTTCAAGCGGAAAAAATACTACCCGATCAAAAATGAAATTTTACTTCTAATTAAAAAAACACCGTTGTAATCACAACTCGTTGTTTCAACCAATGCATAATGAAGGTAGTAGGTTAGCAACTTGATAAAAAAGTGGAAATGATTGCGATGAATGTGATTTAAATAATGAGGAGAAAGATTAAAATAGATCCAAGTTATTACGACAGCATCCGCCATCGATGAAAGTAAAAAGTATACCATTTCTTTTACCGTATGTTGCGATCGTATCCATACGGTATCTCGATGAGTATATACATATATATCTTCATTAGTTATATATTAACAGAAAGGAAAGAAAAAGTATTTTTGTCCCGAACGACAGTTTTCCGCCTATAATAAACATTTCTCTCACCGATCGAAAATTTATCAACTGTTGATAACAGTTTATGATATTTATACTAATGTTACTTCTCTTTTCTTCTCATTCTTAGAAAGAAGAACTTTCATTTTCTGCCAGTATCTTTTTCTTCAATATAAATGCATCAGTATCTTATACACTAGACTGTTTCTTATTTAGAAATAAAACTTCTAGTTTTAAATGTCGAAAAGCAAGGAACAGATAAAAACTATATTATGCAGTGATGACGACAGGGATTTGAATAAGTTAGGTGGTCCAAACAGGTTAACTCATCTGCAGGTGCGCCAGTATTTGGATATACTCGATGGCGATAATGAACGAACATGTACGTTTGATTGGTACGATGCACAAGCATTTAATGATAAGCATCTTGAATATTATGTCTATTCATTCGTAGGCTCTATTGAGCGTCTTATGAATCCGCCTGATGCCTTTTGTGTACAACAAAAAGCGAATGTTTATTATTTTACAAAATGTGGAAAATGTGATTATATTATCTTAACAAATCGCGACATTGGAAATAGACTTGTCTGTATGAATCCACAAATTAGATGTGGCTATAATAATCATGCTAAACCACTTTCTAATGATTCATTCATGACTGATGTTCTACAATTAGTAAATGAACATTTAAATTAAACTTAACACAAAAAATAAAATGGTATTTTATTTTTCTGTTTTTTTATCATTAATAAAAGTTTAAAAAATTCAGTGAACATAAAAACGAATGAAAATAATCTTTATAAATTATTTAAAAACTGTAAATGAAAGTTTTTAGAATAGAGCTATAGGATTTTATTTCAATCATTATTAACATAATATAGCAAAAAAAGCCTGCTCGATATCATCCGTTGTCTCAAGTTGATCTTACAATTCTATTTCAGTATAATGAGTTACAGTTAGTGGCATGGAACAAGACAAACCGATATTCACATCGACAAAATAATTCACATCCGAACGCATAGCTTGTACTAAAACAGGTTTCTAGCTACATTAGAGTAATAATTGTCAACACCGCGAGTGATTCTCGTTTCATAATGCGCATATTTTGATGAAAAAAAAAGAATATATATTATCTGGTTTTTTTTCTCTTGAAATATGTATCAACATTAGACTATGTCGAGGAGATTTAAAAATCAGACTCAATTTCTGAAAATCGATCAATACTGGAATCACAAATATAACCTCTTTTTAGATTATTTGACTCTGATTATCATTATTATATAATGCAAGTATGTAGAGAATAAAGGCGCACACCAAAAGTTCCCTATAGAACTTACAAAGATTAGATCATGCTGACTGGTTCTTCAGAAACAACAGTGAATTATAATCAGTAGCAGACTTACTTCTCATGTACAGAAAATCCGATTATTTTATTGAATTCTTATCGAGAACATAATCAATCAATACTTACTATAAGCATATATATTCCACATAATGAAAACACATGCTAACATAACTGTTACAGTAGCAAGATTAGCGACTACTTCTTCTCTTTTTATATTTCCATATCAGGCAATGTATTCGTTGCTGATACATTACTTTAATATCTCTTGATAATAATTTGTACAGTTGCTGCACACAGAATTTTTGGAAGTATAATAACAAAAACTGTTTGTAGATGTGTTTATCCAAAAAAGCAAAGCAATTCAGACTCAATTGTATTGATACTTACATCAAGAATTTCATCACCTCATACTACGAGCTGCACAAATAAGAATAAGTTTTGTTCAATCGATATTATCAATTTTAATTGTTTTGTAGAATATTTTCTAGGTAATACAGTATATTTGAATATCATCAGATAGTTTCTAAGCTATCGAGCGTTCCTTGACGAGGACCTTTAAACATATTACTCCTTATTAATAATTGTGCCATTTGAAAAAAAAGACTATACTTAATAATTAATGTACATCAAATAACTTCTAGACACTACTTGCTGATGGAAGTATTCTGTCTGTATGACAATTAGTTATGCTTGATTGATTTTTCGTGCGAAGGTGATTGATTCAAACAATAATTCCCAAATATCAATTATATTCACCAAAATAATCTGTATTTAAAACATGAGAGTTGTTGGGAAAAAAAGCTTGTGATTAACTCGTTGGTTGATATTTTATTCGACTGATATTTTTGAAGCAATTGTGTATAACGATATCATAAGTTTATATCATGGTTAACATAGACATGCCATCTGCCGACAGCTGGTTATTGATTGGTGATAGGTAGACTACTAGTCAATCGATTAGTTATATGGATGGCTAGATAAGGATAAATTGTTATTATTACTTTCATTTTTTATATTTTTTATTGTTTGTTACTTAACTACATTAATTATGTCAGCGGAACGAAGCGCTTTCTCATGTGATACATTTGTTGTTTTACCACCATTAACAGATTCAAATTTTTGTATATTTGGTAAAAATTCTGATCGTCCAGAAAATGAAGTTCAAGAAGTTATTTTTGTTTCTGATGAACATACAAGTGATAATAAAGATTATGTTCAAGTATAATTTTTTATTTTCCTAAGATTTTACATTCGAGAAATATATGTATATTTATTTTTAATTTAGTGTACTCATATACAAGTTCCACAGATATCAAAAACTTATCGATGTGTTTTATCAAAGCCAGCTTGGTGTTGGGGCGCAGAAATGGGAGCTAATGAACATGGTGTATGCATTGGAAATGAAGCTGTATTTTCAAAAGTACCATATGAAACACGAGAGAATGCATTAACTGGTCTTGATATTGTTCGGTTAGTAGTTACTATAAAAAGCTTAGAGAATATTGAATAGACATCGTTTTAATATTAAAAGTTCGAGAGAAAAAAATAATTCAAGTTAAATTTTTAAATTTTTGAAAAAAAACTATTTTGTTTTATTTGCACTTAAATTGAATAAAACATTTTTTATAATCATATGTTCGAAGTAGACAAACACCTTAGATAAGAATAACATTCGTAAAAATTTATTCTAAACATTGGAATGTCAGTATGGTATGATAGTACTGAGAAAAGTGTTGTTAAGTATTACAGAATCACTATATCTTCTAAAATACTCGTAAAAAATAAATTACGAATATTAACATGACTTTTGATTTAAAACTATCACACTAGATTCACTGTCTTCCATTAAAAGCTGAGTCCTGAATTCGTATTACGATGGTTACATTAACAAATAGTAGTACTTTCTGATCATGAAAAGTTTAAAAACATCTTGACATACCTTTTGTTCCAAATATTACTAGGCGTTTCTTTGTACGATCGTTGTTTTGATAAATAGATTCGAAATTCAGTACAGTATGACAAACCTAACTGTAATTTTCGGGATGATATTAAAATCCCGAAGAAAAAACCTCATAAACAAGAATAAAGAAAAAAGGAAATCTCGAAAAGCCAGAAGATCAAAAGAGAAAATTTCGAAAAACCATCTTGAGGGTGTGGGT